ATTCGAATATATTTATCATTTACAAGTTAATTACTTGTTATTTGGAAATATTTATGTAAGGGATAATGGCATTCATTTTCCTTTATATTCTCCTTTATATTCTCCTTACATACCAAACCTGATACATTTTTTCTATTTTCAAAATGAATTTTTTTATAATTTTTAATCTTTTATACCTTTTTTTAATAACTAAGGTACGTAGTATAACGAAAATAACAAAAATGTAAAATAATTTAATTAAATCTTGTTCTATTATTTAAAAGGATAAACAATTTAAATGCTCTTTTTTCTACAAGTTCGAAAACTTCTGGAAGTAGAGCCTCCGCAAGTAAATCTTCTACAAGTAAATCCTTCACAAGTATCTCCCGTTTAATTTTACAGTCTTCTGGCTCCTCTTTTGATAGTGATGATTCAATTGCGCCATTATTCTCTGAATCTACTATGCAAGCAAAAAATGATGGTATAATTTTAATAATATTTGTATTTATTCGAAAAAACTTGAATTGAAAAGCTACCTATTTTTATTAGCTCTGTTATGTCGAATTTTGACGAAATTAGAACTTTTACAACAAATAAATGAAGACAACCAAAAAAAATTATGTAAAATGGAAGAAGATATGAAATCAATAAAAGAAAAAATATCTGTGCTTTCGTTTAATAAAGAATCCCTGGATGTAAATAAATTTAAATTAATATAATATTTGTAGTTATTATATATTTCAGTAGTATTTAAATAAAATTATTCGAATTTATTTATTATGCAGGTCATTATTAAAAAAGCCTCAGAAGAACTTTTGGACCATAATATATATCCAATTCCCAATGATTATAAAAAAATAGCAGAAGAAGTTTTAAAGAAAACAAATAATGACTTTTTTTTGAGTTTGGGTGATCAATGGGATGGATATTTTGAGAAAAGAATAAAGAAAGTTGCAAGTATCATTTAAAATTGTTAATTAATATTATAAATATTATTAAATCTTATAATAGCTATTAAAATTTACAGATGGGCGAAAAAATACGAAGTTTACATAATAATTTAAGTACGAAAGTAAAAGTATCTATCTTTAAAGTCTTTGATAAATTACTACCTATTAACAACAATGTGACAGCAGCTGAAATTATCACATGGAAAAGTAATCCTATAGTATTAGAATGTTACAAGAACCTGTTTAAAGAAATTGAAAATATATCTGAAAAACATATCGTACGTATAATAAAAAATGTATGACCCAAAAAAGAACTAATCCCAAATTCTCACACTGCTTGGTGCGTGTCGATTGCTGAAATCCTTTTAAACCCCTATAATGATTATATCCAAATCACTAAAAATATTATTTAACCTTTTGTTGAAAAAAATATAGTAAGTAATTAAAATAATTAATATTAAAATAATATTCAAAAACTAATGAAAAAATAAAAAATAAATAAAATAAAATAAAAATTTAGAAAAAGATTGTAGAT